GACTGTTATCGTTAGCTTCTACAGTAGTACATTGTGGCAGACTATTATCGATAGCTATTGATGATTACATAATAGCATCACATAGCTATTCGAACAGCCCTTCACTGCACAATAGACACTACTAACTGCTATTTTTAGTAATGACTTGTACATTTAACGCAACAGTGTCTAGAGTATCAAATTTTCAATGTTCTGTTTGTTACCAAATGCTACAAAGTGAAGGTACAAACAGTATTGGCAAAAATAAAATTACTATCCACCATTAACGCGCTATGAGAAACCACAGTGTGCACCTTCTGCGCAAATCTACAGACAATCTGATGTAACATGTCTTCTGTAGGACCCAAAGAATTGCACACCAGCACATCAAGGCATTTGAATATTAAAAAAACAGTAGGTAACGTTATGCTATCGCTCGCAGTTGGTGGGGAAGGAGCTGATGCCCAGTCCAAGTCATCATACGTGTGATTAATTATTGTAGATTGATGTGGAGACATGGATGGATGTCGATGTTTGCGCTTTGCAACATCTCTACTATACTATTATTTGCAACATCTCTACTATATTATTCAATGGTAGCTTGATCTACCCTCTGCCAAAGCTGCAATTGACACTTTGGTAGTCAGTTCGCAGTATCTTTTTGAGATCATAATATTACAGGAGTCCAATACAAGCGTGTGCCAAAAGGAATGCGTGCAAATAAGCTACTGAAGCCTTGGTGGAGATACAAAGTGAGAATAGGGCTCTTGGGATTGCTGAGTAATCGGATATGTCACTGTTGGGGATCGAGTATACGTGAGAAATAGTAGTTGAAGAGCCTCGCCAATTGGCTGGCGTCGTTGAACTGTACATACAAACTACTTCGCAATTACGTCCAGTATCGGACTGGTCCAGACACATTCATACTTTCTGGATAGGCCGTCTTTTCCTATGGCTGTTCTTCCTCAGAGGTATTGCACCTGTGACAGCAACACCACACGTGCTTGCTCGATCGGTGATGCACCTTTGTATTTATTTTGGCTTGCTGTCGCTTGCTGGGTCTATGTTTAAAGTTTGCGTTGTTGTTTTCAGTTGTTTTTCCTCCTAATTTCGTTTCGCTTTCTTCATCCTCTTGTTGGTATCAATTGCTGGTCCACCGGACGTCCGCTTCTCGGGCGTGTCTTTGCTAATTTTACTGCAGATTGTATGTAACAACTAGGTGATTAACGCTTGGCTTTTGAATCTAGGCTAATTGCACCTTTTATGCGTAGAATACGGATGCTCATGAAATGCGGATTGTGCACCACACGTCCAGGTGTGCAATGTACAAGTTTTTATCTCAACGAACATATCTGTGGTTTAGGATGTAACCTGACTGTCAAAATCTATGAACAACGCAAACATCGACTTGACAACTGTCGATTTGTATTTGAGAAGACACAGAAAGTGATCAGAAAACGGTAATTCATACACTCGCGATCTCAATTGCTCAACTGTTTCCAAGGGCTAAACGACAACCCCAGACGAGTGCGTGGAGCGAACTTATTGGAAACACTCGCGCTACTTACTTGAAGAGTGGTGTGGCGCTGGCTATCACAGCCGATCCAGGCGATGGGGCTCCTACACCAATAACAATACAAAACGATTAACAATTGTATATTCATATGATACGACTTGGCAGAGAAACAAATCGATTAACAATTATATATTTATATGATACGACTTGGCAGAGAAACAAATCGATTAACAATTATATACTCATATGATACGACTTGGCAGAAAACGCTTGACTTGCGGCACGCATACACACTGAGCGTATGCCCTATCCATAGCAAAAGAAAATAGAAGGTAGATAGGCATAGCTTCGATTTTGTGAAACACAAGAAGTTCAAACGTTTGCACTAAAGCCTAAACCCCTGAACCGTAAACCCGTAAAACATTTGCAGCCATACCAGCCTCACATGCGTTGCGCACGTGGCGATCATCTTCGCTCACGCCCAGACGGTCCAGCGCGACGTTGGCAATGCCCTATTCGCATTTATCAAAGATAAGACATGAGTTATATATATATATATATATATATATATATGTGTGTAGTGTGTGTGTGTGTGTGTGTGTGTGTGTGTGTGTGTGTGTGTGTGTGTGTGTGTGTGTGTGTGTGTGTGTGTGTGTGTGTGTGTGTGCGTGTGTGCGTGTAGCTATGGAGTTGTGTTAGCGGTCGACGCGAGAATACGTGTACGCGCAAGATGTTGATGAATCTTGAGCGCGAGCACAGCAGGGATGCGGAACTCAGCAAGAGCAAATGGTAAGGTGATTTGCCGGTAACTGCACTGCACAGGAATATGAGACACACTCGAGTTGTGTGTGTGTGTGTATGTATATATGTACATACCCACAAACACACACACACATATATATATATATATAACTCCAAGGGTGATGTCAAGATCAGACTACGACAATATCAGCACACATGCACATACCGGCGCAACGGGTATCAGAAGCAAAGACGCAGTGCGCACGGCCTCCATTGCAATGTACAGAACATTACGCAAACGCTCAGACTGCGCCGGATCCTTAGCCAGAGCCCACGGCTTGTTTTCGTTCATGTGATTGTTAGACTGTCAGGGGATGGTGGAAGGTCGATGTAATGCAAGGTTAGCCGATACAAGAATAGGCATTGTCTGCGTGATAGTAGGTGGCATGTATGATACTCTCACTCTCTGGCACAGTAGACATTCACGACGTAGTTGGGTCCACCGATAGTGCATCGTACCCCCTGTTTGGGAAAGTGGGTGATCCCAGATGGCGCAACACATGTGGTAGAAATATGACTCAAGAAGATATCGATCCAGATTCATGATGCGAAAGCGTACAATCCGAGAGTGACCGTTACCTTATATAGTGTCTCCATCACAACCTCGATTCCTCGTGAAAAGTCCGCATCCCGGTAGAAGCTGTGTGCTTTCTCAGGCATTTCGCTGGATTGTGTGTGAGAATCTCATTTCTTAGTAGCATACCCTACCATTTGCAAACTACTATACCTTCATGTTCAAGAGAAGTACCGGAGTTGAGACCACACACTGAGACAATAAACGCTATGGTACTCGCAGAAGATGGGCTGGGGATTGTACGTGGAAGTGGTAATCTACCACCGCTTAAGGCTAAGTAGTGAACAGCCGTACAAACAGATGCAATGACACATACGCGTACACATCGAACACCGCTCACGGGCAAACGGGCATTGCATCCTTCCTATATTTGCAATGTGCACTCTTATTATATTTGCGATTAAATGATTGGTCTCAACTGTTTACCTACCGGATCAGACCAAGCAACTCTCTATCGGCGTCGGTATATGAAGCACTGTTTGGTTCGGGATAGCACTGCATTGGGTTTACCTGCCGGTTGGTGCGCGCGATAGCAAACCAGACAGGTGAGATGATATGTATTGGTAAGGTAACACCGGAGTGACAACAGACAGTGTCCAACCTGGTCACGCACATGCACCTCTTCTCGAGGTTTAGACGAACAGAACAGAGTGTTGCGATTGTCATGCACGCGACAAGGGTGCGCTTGAGTACGTGTACTTCATGTATAGATACATCTGGTACACTATTATTAGTACCGGCATCTCTAAAACACTTCTTTCGACACCATTTTTATTAATACAAGTATCTCTAAACCAGTTTTAAAATGCTTTGCTTCCTAAGCTTGTAAAACACCCAGCTGAAAACACTCAATATAACATACGGTGGCTGCGTATATGTTGTCGTATTCTATGCACGTGGTTAAGTAGCTCTATCTAAAGTGCGAGTGAGTGGGCGCAAGGTCAAAAGCAATGGACCCAACATCGAACAGCCTGTGGTATGCTGTAACCATCGCATGAACTTAAGTACTACTGAGTTCGTGAAATGTACCAGCACTCTACACATACACACCTTCACCGAGGTGCATCGCCCCAATAGATTCCCATAGGTGTCGGCCAGGTCGGCGTTCACGATATTAATAGCCCTCTCATTCTCGTAGTCACCGTCGCTGCCTAGTCTGATAGCCACAGCAACACAGTGTGGGCACACAGAGATGATCAGTGACCTCGAATGCAAACCTTAATGAAGGACCGGCCCCAAAACCTTAATTTAGGACCGGTCCAAGTTCGCGAGCATGAGTATCATACTAGCATAACAAACCGCTCTCCCCTGTCCAGTATAGGATGTGATTGTCTACAACACACATCGGTAGAAGAGTGCAATAAAAAAACCCCCACCATACCTTCCTTCTTTCAACAGAAAGTATCTGAAGCCGTCGGGACTGAGCTCCTGCAACTTGGCCAGCGGATCGATGACGTTCCCCAGACTCTTAGACATCTGACGGTAAACACAGGGGGTGAGAAAAATCTGAAATACTCAAGTGAAGTGTTTTGCTGGATGTGACCAAAGTCTGAGCACTCGTTGTCAATCATTGCGAGAGGGTTCGAACGCCTGCAGTCAATACTGGCATAGCTAAAGCCGCCAACTTGGACCGAAAGTATGAGTGATGGTGTGCAGGCGACGTTTTGTAGAATTCTGAATCAGTGAGCGTAATATAAAAGCGGACACTGCGACTTGTACCATACTGTACATACACACTCACATACATATACAACAGACTCTACGATATGTACATACACCCTCTATATGAAGTATGCGTGGCTGCAATACATACAGGAACATGTCCTGGTGTGCTCGCGCACCCGCGCTCGCATTACCTTGACGGAGTTGACGGTCCAGTGCCCATGCACAATCACCTTGTGCGGGAGGGCGATACCCGCTGCAGTCAGAAAACTAGGCCAATACACACAGTGAAACTTAGCAATGTCCTTGCCCACCACGTGGTAGTCGGCTGGCCAGCAGGACGCACTGGCTGCCGAGTCGTCCTGTAGTAGACACGCGCGATGACTGAGTAAGCAAATACACACACTACACTAGAGCGATTGCGACGGACAGTAGGCTGGGTGTATGTGCGGGCAGGATGGGACCGGTACAACATCGTGTGAGGTGTGGTGCAAGGGATGGCATAATGCGTTGAGTGAGAAGGTGAGAGGGAAATGGCTGAGAAAGAATAGAGACCAATCGCACGGCATGTGCACACCCAACACTTACAGTCTGAGAGCACTGAAGGGTTTGTATAGAATCCTGAGCACGACACACAGCAATAAACTTCGTGCCAAATAGAATCCGTTGCTATGGAACGTGCCAAATGGAGTCCGTTGCTATGGAACACTCGTGTGTCCATTGTCTACGAATAAAGAACTATCACGAGCAGTCTTAAACAGTGTGAGGTGTATAAAAGTGCATAGAACATGCGCAGAATACCGTCAATTGGGCATATACATGTGTACATGTACTCATGTGTGCGGATAGGGCCATTCACGCGGATGTATCCATGCACCTACACACGATAATACGCGCACCTAGCCACGCAAAGCCAATCGCACATAGGTATGTAAGCTTGGAACTAAGTTTTTAACTCGGATCGCACGTTATTCTGATTATACCGTACAGTTCACTTACGCGCGTCAAATTGTATGTCGGATTGATCACACAAACCCTAGCTCTCCATACATACCCAAGGAAACCCGGCCACAGTCAGATAGTTGGTAAGAGCATCCAACCAAACGTACACCAAATGATCCTTGTCGTTAGGCACCTCAATACCCCACAGCTGGCGTGGCACGGGCCGTGAGACTGACGAGATTGGAGTAGAACGTTGGGGTTGTGTCAGTACGATTGACCGTCGAGGTGAACCCGTTTCTGCACGTGCTAATGACGGGGTATGTGTGTCGCTATTTGTACATGTTGGGTGCACCTGTAGAGGCGATTTTCAAGTGCTAAAGACGAGGTGTGTTTGTGGCTATTTGTAAATGTTGGGTTTAAACCTGCTCACTTGTGTGTGTTTTGTTGTTCATAGCGTGTATGTCAACTGCGTTTGCGTGTGGGTCATGTGGATAGCGATTGAGCTTACACATATGTGTGTTGTGTTCTCAAATACACACCGCATCTCTCCGGTGTGTTGACATACAATTTGTAGAGCATGGGTGTCCACAGTGACAGTCCCACCTACGCTACACTCACACCCAGGCGCCCCACACAAGCCGATCAGAGTCACACAAATCACGTACGTACACTGTATGAACATAAGGAGTACAGCGACCATGGACATTCGGGGAGAGAACGCACACACCAGACAGAGGTTGGGCGAATGTCTCTGCCAGCAGATTGATTATCTCGGTCTTGCGCAACGATGGAGCAATCGCATGGTTGTCGTTGATCCAATTGCGCACCTGAAGATACAAACAGATAGGATCGGTACCAAAACAAGCGGGGGTCACCTTATGAAACTATATAAGCGTTGTACTGTACAACTATATGTGTATGTGCTCGTGAGGAGTCATGAATATATGTGTATATCCCTCGGGCCTAAATGAACCCTGACAAGAGCGGTGTACATTCACCTGGTGCCACGAAAACACCTGACACTCCTTGCGCCCAGTGTTAGGGTTTTAGGGTTGTAGTGCGAAGCCCTTCTGTTTGGTATGATTGACATGCGTCTCTCCGTTCATGAAACATATGAACGCCATCCGATGGATTCGGAACTGAACTTGAAGTAGGAATGGGCCCAAGCAGCAACCAAATAAATAGAGTATTACTGATAGCCTACGAAGCAGAAGGCCTGATCTACTAAAACGAATAGTATAGCACAGCATCGCAAGAACCGTGCAACACACACAGATGCAATGCAAAAACATGCGCACGCATACCTAGCTGTATCAAAAATTGGTGCGTGTGTGTAATTGGGAATGTATGCCACTACGCGCACTGAATTCTGCAAATGAAGCACTACTATCTACACCTGGGTATCTACATGTCCACGCAGACACATAGCTCCTGGCATGCACTCTCTACATCCCATTTATGGTCTTGCATGATGACTGTTGCAGTGTGTGCGTAAGGTTAAAAGTACGTATGCCCGGCCGTGCATGGACACAACAAAGGCCGCTTTGCCTATATTTGTTTGCTACCGAACTATTTCTGTGTGATTCAACAATACGTAGACTAGACTCGAGGTTAACCCCTTTCCATGAACCACGCTTGTAGATGGACCGTATGCTGTCAAGCCTGGCAGTCCGTATCAGAAGAAGCCTTGCAATCCATATCAGAAGAACAGATGTCTATGTGTAACATACAGCACTATCCGCGTCATCGGCCCATCTTAGCAGGTAGTTCTCCTCCTGCACCCATTCTACAACCTTGCCCGTGTCAGCGGTCACCATCTGCTGCGCCGTTTTGTCTGTAGTGTCTGCAGCCCAATACAATAACGGGTCATATCGGGTGAGAGCCCGTATAAAGTGAGAGGACTCTTGGAGAACACGGCAACTCACAATGTGCGCATGGACACTGGTAGGGTTGTTGAACCCACACTCAGAGCTACGGCTAGATGGGTAACCAGTAAACGCATCCGTATGTGGGATGAAGCGTGCGTGTAAGGGCAGTTCGGAACAAGAAGCGTGACACGACCATAAATATCCGTAGACATGAAAGGCGGGAACACGCCGAGTGATAGGCTTTTCAGGTGAACCAGTCATTGGGAGAGTCACACACAGATCAGCTATCGCTCGCTGTAGGAAGGTATCGAAAGGACTTGAAGTCTCGACCCATAGACACCATGGGCGCCTGCACTATGGGCGTATCTAGTACACACTCGCCAATATGAAAGTTACGTGTTCATCACACTCATCCCTCGCCCACATATCCTACACCTCATGTACAGAACTTTCCACGCATGCATAATCTACCGATAAGCTGATTTACCTCCTGTATTCGACGGTGCACTATTAGGCACGGCATCGGCATTCTCGGCAGTAGAGTCTCCTGTCGCCTTGGCCGCGATCTTTGCATTGTACGACGACTGAGTCATCACATCTCGCTCGGCATAGAAGACCTCATCCGAGACACAGTACCAGCCTATGGGGGTAGGGCGGAAAAAGAGATAGAACGTGTAGTTGCATAGTTGAGTTGGGATGTCCACATACGACGGAAAGTGTCCATCCCGTTCGCGTGTGTTGTAGAGGTGAATATAATCGAACAGGCCATAGCTTGAGATGAGTGGCCCGAGTGTGCTGGTGCCAGTGCCTGATGCATGGATAGGGAGGCTCTACGTGTATTAAATACGATTAGACATTCCCGTGCACGCACGGATGGTCATACACCAATAAAGCTGAAACCCCGCAGCCTTACCTTCTCAGATACCGCAAGGACTCTCTCTGTGTACAACACAGGACTAGTATACTGTACCCGTCCCACAGCATCACACGTACTATAGTGCATCCTCACAAACCTGACCATAGTACCCCTTTCACGCCCACACACCTTCGTGCTTTCCTTTATACAGGAACCCTTTCTCCTGCAATATCCTCCACATTTCCTTCACAGCAGATTGATGATCGCTATCAGTGGTGCGGATGAAGCGTGTGTAGGTGATGCCAGCCTGATCAAATAATTCCTTAAATGACCTGGAGACAACGTCACAGAAAGCTTTGCACGATTCCGCCGGTTGAAAGGAGCCGCCGTCCCCTTCTGTCTGCGCGCGTGTGTACACATTAGATACACACGACGGGGATGTACGAGAAGACTTTGAATATAATAGAGTGCGCCTGAATTTACGAAGTTTACCTACTATTGTAAAAGGGGTTCACCGCATGTGTGCAGGATAACGGTATTAAATGTATGTAAAGGAGTGGGTGATAGCGATGTACCGACTGGGCAGGTAGGGCTATACTCGGGATTATGGTACTGCATAACATTCTACGCTGATAACCAAATGTGCCGTTATGTACCAAAGCGGACGAGATGATTTATACACAAAGGTATGCGTATATGAGCGTGAGTACACACTTATTTCAACAACACTCATATATCAAATCATGGGTATATAAATTGTGCATATGTGTATATATGTATAAACACGCACACATGTCCACACAAGTGTACAAACATATAATGTATATATATATATAATATATATATATATGTGTGTGTGTGTGTGTGTGTGTG